TTCAGCTAAACAAGTCCACTTAAACAACGTGGTCAGCATCCAATGTCGAACACTTAATGAGCTATTGATTTTGGGGAATTATTTACAGCTACAGATCACTCCCCCCCTAGTGAGGTAGTGATGCCCCTAAGACGTGACCAGCCAGAAGTTTAAACCCAACGAATTTGTCGTTGGTAAACACTCTTCTGATAGCTTGCTTCGTTTAGCAGCGTCTGGTCGTCTTTCCTTAAACTATGGGACCAAAATGTACGACATAGCAATAAAGAAATATAGTACAATGAAAATTTCGTTCCCTTGCGAAACTTCGTCGTTCTTTTCCAGCCGTCCTGGAAAAGAGGAAAAATAAAACGTGTGAGTGCATGTCAAAAATACACTCGTACTTGCGTAAGGACACAAGATGAGCGGAAAAAAATAAACTGATACACTTACAAACAGCGTAAAAGCGATTGGAAAAAAGGTTGTTTTTTTTTGTTTTTTTTTTACATAAATAAAAAATGAGCATATTAAAAAAAATTTATAATAAACTTTGAAAGGGTAATTCAAGATAAAGCTTATGTCCTACGTGCAATATTCGTTAAGATGTTCTGGAAATCTTACTCGTCTTCCAGAACGCGTTGTTTTAGGTTTTTCTATCGACGTTGACGAAGTATCAAGTTGTGTGTCGGTTGTCGTGTAGGGTACTACGAGTGTAGTAGCTGTGTCGTTTGCTTGCACCGAAGGAAAATCGACGTAGCTAGGGTTTCCTTCTAGGTACGCAGCTTTGAGTCGATCGATACTGATGCTATCTTTCGTACCGTTCTTGTCGACTACATAGTACTTAGGTTCGCGTTGAAGAACTTTGAAGGGTCCTTCGTATGCTGATTCGAGGGGTCGTCGATGTGAGTCTCGACGAACGAAGACGTGTGTACTATGTCGTAGTTCGGGTTGAACGAAAACATCAGTTGATTGAGGTCGAGTGTGAGCAGGTTTAACTGAACGCATAGCGTTTGTAAGCCTACTCGTGTAAGAGTTTAGATCCATGTTCAATGAAGAAGCTGAAGGATCCACGAATTCTCCTGGGAGTCGGAGTGTCGTTCCGTAAACGAGTTGAGATGCAGTGTATCCAATGTCAGCTTTCACTGCATTGCGGATACCTAGCAAGACGAGTGGAAGAGCGTCTGTCCACTGTGAAACGTTTGAAGCTGATAATGAGGCTTTTAGTTGTCGATGAAAACGTTCTACCAACCCGTTTGCTTGTGGGTGGTAGGCGGTCGTTCGGAAGCGCGTGATTCCTAAAAGTGTGGTCAGACAACGGAAAAGTCCAGATTCGAACTGGCGTCCGCGGTCTGTAGTGATGGTTGAAGGGCAGCCGAAATTTGCTACCCATCGTTCGACGAAAGTGCGAGCCACTGTTTCAGCAGTGATGTCCTTAATCGGTACTGCTTCTGGCCATCGAGTAAAACGGTCTACGCATGTTAGGAGATATGAGTATCCGTTCGAGTCGGGTAAGGGTCCTACCAAATCTAGATGGACGTGGTCGAATCGAGCGTCAGGGGTTTTGAAAGAACCTAAGGGACATTTGTTGTGTCTGATTACCTTAGATTTCTGACAGCTTACACAGGAGCGTGACCACTCCCTCACGTCTTTATTCATGCCAGGCCAACAAAAGCGTTCGGCTATAAGTTCGATTGTTGCACGAGCACCTGGATGAGAAAGATTGTGCAACGTATTGAAGACGTTGCGGCGATAGTGTTTTGGTACAATTGAACGATCCCTACCTGTAGATGTGTCACAGAGTAAGGTTTCCTTACCTGTTCCCATCTGCTTAATACTTAGTTTAAGAGTTGTCGAGGATAACTCATGCTGAAGATCAATGTCTTCTTTTTGAAGCTGAGCGAGTTTAAGAAGGTCGATTCCTTGGAAACTGTTCAAGGAGCTAATTCGAGACAAGGCGTCTGCGACTACATTGTTAGCTCTAGAAATATGTTGTATGTCTGAAGTAAACTGCGAAATGTAGTCGAGTTGTCGAGACTCTCGCGGTGAGTACTTGTCTGAAGATGAAGTTAAAGAGAAGGTAAGAGGTTTGTGATCGGTAAAAAGCGTGAATTCTCTTCCTTCGATGGAATGTTGAAAATGCCGTACAGCACAATACATAGCTAGGAGTTCCCTACCGAACGTGCTGTACCTAGATTCAGCGTCTAGCAACCGTCTCGATAAAAATCCTAAAGGTTGCCACGAGTTGTTAACCCATTGTTGTAAGACTGCTCCGATTGCTGAGTCGGATGCGTCTACGGCGATACTAATGGGCGCTTGACTGTCCTGATGAGCAAGCAAGGTTGCTTTAGCGATGTGTTCCTTAACTGTGGAAAATGCTTTACGGGCTGTGTCGTCTAAACTAATTGATTTCGCATTTCCACGAAGCTGATCGGTCAACGGTTTCATTAGGGATGCGCATTTAGGTATGAACCGTCTATAGAAACTTACGAGTCCGTTAAAAGTTCGCAACTGCTTGATCGTGGTCGGTTCTGGGTAATCCAGAATGGCCGCCACTTTGCTCCTAAGGGGTCGGATGCCTTGGGCATCAATGGTGTGTCCTAAGAAGTCTAAGCAGTTAGTTCCGATTTGGCATTTCTGAATGTTGACAGTAATGCCATGCCGTTGAAGTCGATCGAAAACAATGTCCAGATGCTTGAGATGCGATTCTCTGTCCGGACTTGCTATTAGACAGTCATCAACATGCGCATGTACGAAGTTGAGACCTCGGAAGACGCCGTCTATAAACCTTTGGAATGTTTGAGCCGCGTTTCTTAAACCAAAGGGCATTCGTAGAAATTCGTAAAGACCGAAGGGAGTGATGATGGCGGTTTTAGGAATGTCGTCAGGTGCCATCGGGATTTGGTTATAAGCTTTAACCAAGTCGATTTTCGAAAAGACAGTTGTACCCTTCAAGGTAGCTGTCAAATCGTGAATATGAGGCAGCGGGTAACGATCGGGAATGGTTTTAGCATTCAGACGCCGATAATCACCAGTTGGCCGCCAATCATTGCTGTCCTTTTTAGGGACCATGTGCAATGGGGATGCCCATGGACTATTCGATGGTCGAATTATTCCTAGGTCCATCATGTGGTTGAATTCGTTTTTAGCTAACCTAAGTTTTTCGGGAGCGAGTCTTCTGGCTTTCGAAAATACAGGTGGTCCTGTAGTCGAGATGTGATGTGTAACATTGCTGGTTACACAAGGTAATTTCGATTGCGATTGGTATATCCCGGGGTATTTGTCGAGTACTGCTTGGTACAAGGGGTCTATGGCGTGCTTAATCGTGACTGGGGATAACCTGCAACCAGAACAAGGAGTTAAGCAAACGGACAACTTAGTGTTTCCGTCTATTAACCTTCGTGCGCGTGTGTCGATGAGTAGATTGTGGTGTTGTAACAGGTCAATACCAATGATTGGCATAGAGACATCTGCAACCACGAAAATCCAGTGTATGGGTTTACGTAAACCCACGTTAAGGTAGACGTACCTTTTACCGTAAGTAGCGATCGGCTTTCCGTTTGCCGCCTGTAAACTTAAAACAGACTCGCGAAGTCTGTCGTCGAGATTTGCTGGAAGAACGCTAACTTCTGCGCCAGTGTCGACGAGGTAGCGAACTTTCGTAGTCACATCCGTGACATATAAGAGGCGGCTGTGTTCGCCGGCTACGGTTGCCGTTAACGCGTGCCGGCTGGGAAGTTTCCCGAACTGTTTTTCGTGTCACTCGATTTTGGGGTCGGATAATTGCAAGGTTTCCTGCAGTTTCTGGAAAACTTACCGTACTGGTTATGATACCAGCACCAGTCGGGATTGTCTGTCTCTCGTGGTCGAGAGCCAGATCGCTTACGTGAGGCACTTCTACGCGGGGTTTTTGACCGACTACGGTCATTGCGAACTCTAAGATATCGTGTAAGCGTGTGACATAGTTCGGCCATGTCAGTCGAGGTCGATTGGGGTTTTTCTTTGATGGAAAAAACCTCGGCCTTAGAAGATCTAGTGATTTCCAAGATTCAATCGGCAGATGCAGCTAGTTCATCTATGGCATTGTTTTGAAATGAAACAAGCACTGCCTGCACCTGTTGAGGGAGTTTAGACAAGAAAAGTTGTCTAAATAGGCCATCATCGAAAGTTCGTTGGCCGATGACTTCTCTCATTCTAAGCAACATGTCCGTCGCAGAACCATGTTGTAAGTCGATATTGTTAAGGAGTTGGTCTAACCGTTGTCGATCAGTTAGGTCTCCTCGTTTTAAAATCGATAGCTTAAGCGATTCGTAAGGTTCGGAAACATCACTAGTAAACATACTAGGTGTTACGTACCTGTTAAACTCGCGCGGTAACGCCTTAACTACCGCGAGGAAACGTGTGCGCGAATCCGTGCATGCAAAAATCGGCTTCTGCATAGCAGAACCAGGACTCGATATTGTCGGGCCAAAATGGCGTTAACTGAATCGAAATAGGGGGAATAGACTTTAACTTAAAAACCTTGGGTGAGTGTTCCGTCATAGTAATATAGCTAACGAAAATGTCTAATTAAAATATATCCGGAAAAAAAAATTCGCGAAAAAAGTATATCACAATATATAAAATTCAAATAAAGAATAACAATGAATAATAATATTCCAAAATGGAACAGACTCACAGTATATTGACTTGGTGTACCAGATCACGTCAGGTTCACCAATGATGATGCAACGGATATTCTAGTTTTACAACTGGATACCAGTAGCACCTTCTATGTTCGGTCGTTCCCAGTCAGATAGAAATCAGAAGTCAGACGAGAGGAGGCAGGAAAGATATATTTGATTCGTTACCAATATATCGAGGACCTTTTCTATGAGCTGGCTAATGAAACGTAGGAGCTGTGTCCCACGCAGTATTGAAACGTGATCTGGTGCGGATGCATGACCGAAAGCCTTCAGCTAAACAAGTCCACTTAAACAACGTGGTCAGCATCCAATGTCGAACACTTAATGAGCTATTGATTTTGGGGAATTATTTACAGCTACAACATCTTTAATCGAGATACTCTCACTCACTTTAACTTAGTAGGCCACTTGTTTAATATGTGTCTTATCAACGCTAGGTCGATCTGCAATAAAAAGACTGATTTAGCTCTGTTTGCTTCCATATATCAACCATCACTTATAATGATATCTGAAGCATGGACTAACAGTAATATTTCCGATCTAAGTATATCTCTTGATAACTACCTCCTATATAGAAGCGATAGATTGAAAGGACGAGGCGGAGGATGCCTTATTTATGCTCACTCTAGCTTAAACTCACTAATATGCGATATACCTGAACTAAACAAACTGAAGGACTCGGTGTGGATTGTTTTAAAGCCATCAAATTCTATTACCTTACTGTTCGGCTGTATCTACCAGCAACCTAACTTGGCAATAGGTGAAATAGCAGTATTATCAGAGGTATTCACACTAGCATCATCCCTTCCATTCACAGGCAAACTCATTTGTGGTGACTTCAACATGCCTGAAATTTCTTGGTCTCCAGTCAAAGCTCCGAAACGTTATGAATCATTTATTGAATGTCTAGAACTAGGACAGTGGACTCAATATGTTAGTAGCCCTACCAGACATCAAAATATCTTGGACTTAGTCTTTACCAGGGGCATCACCCCCAATACTGTGTATATTGGAAAAAAGTTTCCAGGTAGTGATCATAACACTGTCGTGTGTAGCCTTAATATAAAAAACACAAACGGTAGACGTAAAAATGTAACCCTTCGTAGAAACTATCGCAAGGTAGATTGGAATATCTTTCACAATTACCTAAGAAGCACTGACTGGGGAACATTCTTTACTGCAAACAATACCGACACACTAACCAATATATTTTATCACAACATCGAAAGTATCATGAACAAAATCGCACCTTTAGAGTACTGGAGGCCTAAGTTTTCCAAAGATGTGTTTATACCGGTCGGTACACGAAGACGTCTGCAGAGACATTGTACTCGCTTCCACAACTCTAATGACTTCTCCTCTTTAGTAACGATGACAGAAATACTTGTCCAGACAAACACAATAAGTACACAAAAAGCAATCGAACAGGAAAAACGTGCTGTCGAACTTAGTAATAACTCCTCAGCACTCACCACACTCTTTCAAAATAAACTTAAACGTTCTAAGTCGAGAGGAAACATATTTATTAAAGACAAACAAGTATACGAAGATCCTAAACTTGTTACGGAACTATTTAATGAACACTTTTGTTCCTCATTAACTGATGAAAAACCACTTAATGATTCAGAACTTATCACAGCACCTGCCTGTGAGATTTCTAACGTAGACTTCAATGTACAAAATATCTCTAAGGCTATTAGTACACTGAAACACTCCTACACTGATGGACCAGATGGTATTCCGGCTAGCATGCTAAAACGTGGAGGCGATGATATGTGTGTTTTATTACTCAAACTATTTGCAATATCACTCTCTACAGCGCATTACCCTACTGCCTGGAAAACTACACACATCATTCCCAAAATTAAAACAGGACCTGAAGCAAATGTTGAAAATTACCGACCCATAAACATAACTTCAGTGGTGTCTAGAGTGATGGAGAAAGTAGTTAAAGCGGCGTTAGTCCAACATGTAATTACTAATAATCTCATCTCGGTCTCCCAACATGGATTTCTTAGGTCCAGATCATGTGATACATGCCTAGTGGACTACATGAATGAAATAACTATGAAACGAGACAATGGACTCCTTGTATCAGTCATATTTTTAGACTTCAGGAAAGCTTTTGATAAGGTTCCACACAATGGGCTACTAGCCAAACTACGATCCTTCGGAATCAACAACCCACTCTATTCATGGTTTGTTTCATTCTTAAAGGGACGTAAACAAATGGTAAAGTACAACGACTGTCTCTCATTACCTAGACCAATAACTAGTGGCGTCACCCAGGGAAGTGTATTAGGCCCACTTTTGTTTCTCATGTATATAAACGTTATCTGTAACATCTTAAAATCTGGGAAACCATACTTATATGCTGATGATCTCAAAATAGTATACAGCTATAAGCCTGAGGTTCTAAGTGAAAGTGTACGCCTGATTCAAGATGATCTCAATAACCTAACTATCTGGAGCGAAAAGTGGCAATTACCATTTAACCTTCACAAATGCGGGATCATGCACTTTGGAAAGCACCCCTATGAACCCCAACTTTACTTAAATAAAAGTAAAGTCCAGACACTGAATTCAGTACACGATCTAGGAATAAATTACACAGGAAGCCTAAACTTTAAAGCACACGCCTCCTTTATTATTTCTAAAGCCAGACGCCTAATTGGCTTCATAACAAAAAATTTCTTCACGACAGATGCCAAGCTTACCCTCTACAAAATATGTGTACGACCTTCCTTAGAATACTGCTCTTTTATCTTCTCTAATATGAATACCACTGACAAAATAAGAGTAGATGTTCAAAGACGCTTTACACGCCAACTGCTAGGAAGTGACACCACTCTTGATTACACAAGTAGATGTAAGCACCTCTATTTAGAACCTTTATGGCACCGTAGGTTAAGGAACAATCTGATATTTCTCTACAAAGCAATAAATGGACTGTCATTCCTAACCTCCTGTCCAACTATGATCAATGACCCAGTCTATAGACTAAGAAACAATGCATATAAACTATTTACCGAAAAACACCAAAAACAAATGCGTTGTAGGTTTTTTACAGTTCGGTATAGTTTATTGTGGAACAGGTTGCCAATACCTATCCGTAACTGTAACACCCTCACCAAATTTAAAAGGCTAATAACCCTGTTACTAAACTCTAAAGAACTTCAACTATTCCTTGAACTCCCGCCTACCAATGAGGCACTTTATTATGGACCGCCCAATATCTAGACGGAACAAGAATATAACGAACTCCATTGTCGTTAGTATGAATATAGCAAAACTAAAGAAAACATGCTTTATCTTTCCCCATTATTTATTGATTATTAACCATGGCCTTCCGCTCCTAACCCTCATTTTCAGTTTCCGAATCTCTCTAATGGATAAATTCAAATTATTCTTCCTAAATGTCCTGTCCTTTTATTTTTCTTATTACAAGTAGACAGATAACTCACTAATCTTATGGATGCTGACCAACTAAGGCCGATCAAAAGAAGCCCATACGTCCTAAATTCTTGTGAGTTGTTCAATGCTTTATTTTTTCTTACCCTGAAAATTTTACAATATTTACTATCATATCCTCTGGTTTGCTATTAGCCCTTACCATCTCTTAACTACATATAATCTGACTTGTCTCTTCTAACCTTTACCATTAGTTATCTTCATAGTAGTACGATATATTAAATGGATATCTAACCAATAATACAAATGTTATTACCATCTGATTTGCTTGTAACATGGAACTTGTAGAGACAGCGTATTCCAAATAAGGTCCTTGATAAAAGCAATATTCATACCGACCATAAACGTAAGAGAGCCTAACATCATAAAAGGAGGGAGGGTGGCGTTACTGACCAGCAAACATGATGGTGGGGAGATAACTTCAATCCACCCGTGTCTGTGGGGCAGAACATATTAATTACGGCTCCTTATGTCTAGTGGGATGTCACGAACCAACGGTATTGATGCGAAATTATTCATGCAAAATACCACTTTGCATCATGTTAAAAAAAGCTGAATTGGTTCCACTTCCTACCAAGTAATCCTAATACAAGCAAACTAGAAAATTGGTTAAAAACGAAGCCCACTCCATACCCTATAAAATCTGAAAACAAAAAAAAGAGAGTTCAAACAGCTTCGAAAAAAGAGAGACAGCCATTTGTATCGGAATACTGTTTTCAGCACTTTATTTTATAATTACACAATTCCATACTTCCTTCTAAACTACCTTCATTTATGCAGTTCCTTATCCACTCATACCTTGCCCACACTTATTTTTCTTCAACACATTAGTATGTTCTTACCTAATAAATACTTCAGTAACAGATAAATAGACTAAATGGTTAAATCTTAACTATTCCTCCACGAATATTGTGTGCTCTGCTTTTCGTCCTTCCTTTTTCTTACACCTTTTCCAGCCTCCTGCAGATACTCCACCGAAAACAGATATGGCACGGGTGACTTCGTCCTACACCGTTATTAATGCTTCCGATATTCTGGAGGGATATAAGTTCGAAACTCCTAAAAGCCCCCAACTTCGCATGTATCTATTCTCGACCATCAGTTGTATGTTGCAACGCTATCTCCATAAAGTGCGCCAAGTGTGATATTGATATTGACATGTTTCTTATGAAATCCATTTACATTCATATCTTATGAAATATCAACCCAGCTGAGTAATTTTCAACAGTGAAAATTGTAACTTCTTTAACAATTTGATCTTGCCTGTAAACCGGCATGCCTCATGTAACAATCTGTTGTTTGAGAATAAATTATTATTATTATTAGATGCCGAATTGTGAATCAGCTCGCACGCCTTGAGTACTTGAAGTATTCTACTAATGTGATTTGTAGTTCTCAAAAGTTCGCTTTGTCCTTATGGAACTAAAGTACAAGTGTTGATCCAAATAACTTATTCTGTGTCTTACGTTAGGTAGATTATCTTACAAATGTTGTCCGAGTCAGTAGCTAGCTGTGGTTTTGCCACAGCTTACTGTGTCAGGTTTTACGGACTTTCACATTGGTGCTAGTTTTATACACCTTAACGTTTTACACTATCCTTTTTTATTTTTTTAAGCGTTTTGAGTATACCGTTCTTTATTCATGGTCGAAAACTTTGCGGGAATTTTTTAAGAACTTACGTTTCATCATGGTCATTAATAACACTTGAGAGTGGCCTATATGCCGTTTGGCGTCACTTGTGGTTCGAGATGTCATGAATTCAAAGGTTGGTCAGATGAAGCATGTACAGCACACAGCGACTGCTCGCAACAGACTTAATAAGTCAGATTGTGTTATATCTTGTAGGTTGAACGCTTTATTCAGATCAGTATCAGAGAAAACGCTTTACTACAAGGTTCATTTATGTACAGAAAAACAGGGGTTTTATAGTAATTAAAAGACCTTGAGATTCCACAGTAGCAGTATGTTAAACAGCCAATCAGGACCTCGTCATTTTAGTAGCATTTTAGTAGCATAGCTTCTAACTAATCGCTGATTGGTTGGGCTCTTTATGAGCCTCTGGAGGCTCTGATAGAGTTTACTGTAAGCCGACTTAACAGATTGCAAATGGGTATGTAGCATTTTACAACATGAACGCTGAGGATCTGCTGACTAGTATCATGATTTTCTTGGTAGGTCGGCAAAATATCATCATCAACTCTGAAGAAGACAGTCCTGAAACAGATCAATAAACAAAGACGTGCAGTGAGATAAAGAAGAGGGCCTATAACAACATTAGTATCGATGGGTCAAGCACTGACGGTAATGAAAATATACCGAAATTCAGCCTGGCCATAACATCTTCGGTGTTAGATTTTCTCAGTAAACTTGTGTCTCTTAGCATAAACTCTCGAAATATAACTGCGCTCCCTAAAACGTCTACTGTAGGTGACTGGAACTCTGTTTCTAGGGTTAAGAGGGGTCAACGGTTACTTTCGAAATTGATGAACAGCCCAGGTCTTGTGAGAAAATCAGTTAATGAATCAGCCTTGTAATCTATCCCTAAGATCGCCCGATCAGTCAACGAAAAGCACTGAAATTAGAAACCCGATTATATAGATCATAGTATTCTTAAGTGCAAGTTCATAAGGCAGTTCTAGAAGCCTAAGAACATACCCATCGAATAGATGGTGAGATTAGCCAAGAATAACGGGGATTCTAGACCTCAGCTGATGGGGATAACTTTTGCACCTTCCCAACTGACAAAAGGAACAGTTAATAAACAAAGACTAGATACCTGGAAATCAATAAAAATATTATCAACAACGATTCTGACAAGCTACTAAGCATGCATCGCATGATGTGGACCTAAGAAGTCCATGTTCGGAGGTCGAAATGAGATTATTAGTAAGTAGATGTTGAACTGCCTCCGCCTAAACCACTCTAGATACCATAGAGCAATGACAATATTTTTATTGATTTCCAGGTATCTAGTCTTTGTTTATTAACTGCTTTTTTGTTGTTTAACATGTTGCAGAAATCCTTGCCTTTATAGCACAGGCCGTACCATTCGAAGGCTTTTGCATTTTTGATATGGTTTGCTCTCTTTCCTAATTAGAACTATTTAAATTGAACGCGGAGTTTGCGTTTTGACATAGTTTTAAATGAGTCACTCAAAAACGCTTCGTACGCAACAAAGAAGAACGTTGTATGGCCTAATCAAACAAGCTTTGGTTCGTCAGTTCTGCTTTTAAACTGGATATTGATATTTCAGTCTGTTCACCGAGTTTTCCAAAAGTCCTATAAGAGGGGCACTATTAGAGCTAAATAGTTCACTAAACTCATCCATACTGTGTCGATACTAATCCACAGGTGACCTACCTACAAAGGGTTTTCTGAGTTCATGGTCCCTCTCCCTTCAATGTTTCTTTCCTTTTCTTGACAGTACATAAGTAGGATAGTCGGTTCCAATTTTCCTTTTTACCTCATGTAGCCTATCCGAAAGCATATAGATTGCAGTTGGAAAACGACCTCTGTTCTCATTATATTTCGAGAGCGGAAGCCGTCAGTTGGGAAGGTGCAAAAGTTATCCCCATCAGCTGAGGTCTAGAATCCCCGTTATTCTTGGCTAATCTCACCATCTATTCGATGGGTATGTTCTTAGGCTTCTAGAACTGCCTTATGAACTTGCACTTAAGAATACTATGATCTATATAATCGGGTTTCTAATTTCAGTGCTTTTCGTTGACTGATCGGGCGATCTTAAGGATAGATCTAGACGGATCATGAATATAACGGGCCCCCACTGTCAGTGATATAAATACAACCAGATTTTAGAAAACATGTTTTATTAATATTATTGTTATCATTATTTGCAAACACCCTATGGGTACATGAGTGTTGTGAGGAAACCATCTCAGGTTTCTTCAGAAATGCAATAATACACAAGTTTCAATAATGTTAGCATAGCTTTTACTATATTTAAATAAAAAGAATGGTAAGATAAGGAAAAAATAATATTGATAATAGAATAATGATAAGTCAGGCTCTGTGTAATTGAGAAGAGTGTGTAGTTGATTTTGAAGAAGGAAAGGGAGAAAATAAGGGAATAGAAGTGACGAAAACGCGAAATACGTAAGTAGTTTAACGAGCATGTTTGTGTTCACAGAACAAGAATAGACGACTACGTATGTACCTCTAAATAAATAACAAAAATAAGAGACGAGAAATATTGTAAATAAATAAATAAGAATAAAACTTATTATCGCAGTAAGACATGATGGTAGAATAAGTGCTTATGCAGTAATGGTCTGGAGCGATGCTATGAAAGTCTCAATTAGGCGCAAAGGATGATCAAATATCAATATGTATGAGTCACACACACATAGTGAAGATAAAACGAGTCTCAGAAGTTAATGTGAATATATCCTAAGATATTGTCTTAATTACATACTTCGGATTCTTAAGAATAACATTTATTTAGAAGGAAGAGGGGAAAAGAAAATCTTTGAGAAAATATAACACCAAGCTAGAGGGTTTAAGCATGATAATACCGACTTCTGAAGTAAACCATTAATTGAAAAAGATTCACATCCACTTGGGTAAATACACGTAAATTTACGTAATAGGATACCGAGTAAAACTTGTTATTAGTATAAATTCTTGTTTAATAATCATTTAGTCATGCTGTCACGCTCCTACTTCTTATTTTCAGATTCCGAATCTCTAATGGTTACATTATCATTATTCTTCCTAAACGTCATACCCTTTTTTTTCTATCACAAGTAGACAGCTATTTCACTAATCTCACGGATGATGATCAACTATGACCGATCATAAGAAGCTCATAATGTCGTAAATTCATGTAAGTGGCCCAATATTTTGTTTTCTTACTCTGAAAATTTTACAATCCTAAAGCCTAACATATTCTCTGATTTGCCATTCATCCTGACCATCTCTAAACCACACATAATCTGACCAGTTTTTTAGAACTTATGCCATTAGTTATTGTTATGCAGTATGATACAACGAAAGGATGTCTAACCCTCAATACAGAAGCTTTAACCATCTGATTTGCTTGTAACATGGAACTAGTATAGACAGTGTGTTCCAACAAGGAGCTTGCATTAGAGCTGTATTCATACTAACCACAAACGTCAAAGAGCCTAACATCACAAAAGGAGGGAGCGTGGCGTTACTGACCAGCAAACATAATGATGGGGAGATAAATTCAATCCACTCATGTTTGTAAGGCAGAACATGTTGTTAAATTACGGCTCCTTATGGTCAAGTGGGATGTCACGAAACAATGGTATTGATGCTAATTTATTATGCAGAATACCTCTTTAAATCGTGTTTATGACGTTGAATTAGTTTTACTTCCTACTGAGTGATCCTATTACAAGCAAAACTAGACAACTCGCAACAAAAGAGGCCTGCTCATGACCCTATAAAATCAATAAAAATAAAAATGAGCTGAAATAGCTTGAACAAAAATGAGAGATAGCCATTTGTGTATCGGAATATTGTTTTCAGTACTATATTTTTAAAAACTACACGTAAACGTATAGTTTCGATTTATTTTTGAACGACATCCATT